TTGGCACAAAAATGTAGCGCGTACAAAGTTCTAGCCGCACATCGAAAACCATTTTCATCAAGGTCAAACTTCAAGGTCAAATTCAAGGTCAAAGAACGGGGAACTTTAAAAATGCTACGTCACCAGCGACTTTTACAGCGACGAGCACCGATTTTAGCCAAAACCTCGTCCAAGGTCATTTGGACCATGAGGATCACGAAAATCGAACCCATTCACCCCTAACCCTTGACATTCAAGGTTAAATTCAAGGTCAAAGGACGGGGAACTGAAAAAGTGCCACTAAATATTGTCCGATTTTCAAAATGTTGGCACCAAAATGTAGCGCGTCCAAAGTTCTAGCCGCACATCGAAAACCATTTTCATCAAGGTCAAACTTCAAGGTCAAATTCAAGGTCAAAGGACGGGGAACTGAAAAAGTGCCACTAAATATTGTCCGATCTTCAAAATTTTGGCACCAAAATGTAGCGCGTACAAAGTTCTAGCCGCACATCGAAAACCATTTTCATCAAGGTCAAACTTCAAGGTCAAATTCAAGGTCAAAGAACGGGGAACTTTAAAAATGCTACGTCACCAGCGACTTTTCCAGCGACGAGCACCGATTTTAGCCAAAACCTCGTCCAAGGTCAATTGGACCATGAGGATCACGAAAATCGAACCCATTCACCCCTAACCCTTGACCTTCAAGGTCAAATTCAAGGTCAAAGGACGGGGAACTGAAAAAGTGCCACTAAATATTGTCCGATTTTCAAAATGTTGGCACCAAAATGTAGCGCGTGCAAAGTTCTAGCCGCACATCGAAAACAATTTTCATCAAGGTCAAACTTCAAGGTCAAATTCAAGGTCAAAAGACGGGGAACTGGAAAAGTGCCACTAAATATTGTCCGATCTTCAAAATTTTGGCACCAAAATGTAGCACGTACAAAGTTCTAGCCGCACATCGAAAACCATTTTCATCAAGGTCAAACTTCAAGGTCAAATTCAAGGTCAATGAACGGGGAACTTTAAAAATGCTACGTCACCAGCGACTTTTCCAGCGACGAGCACTGATTTTAGCCAAAACCTCGTCCAAGGTCATTTGGACCATGAGGATCACGAAAATCGAACCCATTCACCACTAACCCTTGACCTTCAAGGTCAAATTCAAGGTCAAAGGACGGGGAACTGAAAAAGTGCCACTAAATATTGTCCGATTTTCAAAATGTTGGCAGCAAAATGTAGCGCGTCCAAAGTTCTAGCCGCACATCGAAAACCATTTTCATCAAGGTCAAACTTCAAGGTCAAATTCAAAGTCAAAGGACGGGGAACTGAAAAAGTGCCACTAAATATTGTCCGATCTTCAAAATTTTGGCACCAAAATGTAGCGCGTACAAAGTTCTAGCCGCACATCGAAAACCATTTTCATCAAGGTCAAACTTCAAGGTCAAATTCAAGGTCAAAGAACGGGGAACTTTAAAAATGCTACGTCACCAGCGACTTTTCCAGCGACGAGCACCAATTTTAGCCAGAACCTCGTCCAAGGTCAATTGGACCATGAGGATCACGAAAATCGAACCCATTCACCTCTAAACCTTGACCTTCAAGGTCAAATTCAAGGTCAAAGGACGGGGAACTGAAAAAGTGCCACTAAATATTGTCCGATTTTCAAAATTTTGGCACCAAAATGTAGCGCGTGCAAAGTTCTAGCCGCACATCGAAAACCATTTTCATCAAGGTCAAACTTCAAGGTCAAATTCAAGGTCAAAAGACGGGGAACTGAAAAAGTGCCACTAAATATTGTCCGATTTTCATAATTTTGGCACCAAAATGTAGCGCGTGCAAAGTTCTAGCCGCACATCGAAAACCATTTTCATCAAGGTCAAACTTCAAGGTCAAACTCAAGGTCAAAGGACGGGGAACTGAAAAAGTGCCACTAAATATTGTCCGATTTTCAAAATTTTGGCACCAAAATGTAGCGCGTGCAAAGTTCTAGCCGCACATCGAAAACCATTTTCATCAAGGTCAAACTTCAAGGTCAAATTCAAGGTCAAAGAACGGGGAACTTTAAAAATGCTACGTCACCAGCGACTTTTACAGCGACGAGCACCGATTTTAGCCAAAACCTCGTCCAAGGTCATTTGGACCATGAGGATCACGAAAATCGAACCCATTCACCCCTAACCCTTGACCTTCAAGGTCAAATTCAAGGTCAAAGGACGGGGAACTGAAAAAGTGCCACTAAATATTGTCCGATTTTCAAAATGTTGGCACCAAAATGTAGCGCGTCCAAAGTTCTAGCCGCACATCGAAAACCATTTTCATCAAGGTCAAACTTCAAGGTCAAATTCAAGGTCAAAGGACGGGGAACTGAAAAAGTGCCACTAAATATTGTCCGATCTTCAAAATTTTGGCACCAAAATGTAGCGCGTACAAAGTTCTAGCCGCACATCGAAAACCATTTTCATCAAGGTCAAACTTCAAGGTCAAATTCAAGGTCAAAGAACGGGGAACTTTAAAAATGCTACGTCACCAGCGACTTTTCCAGCGACGAGCACCGATTTTAGCCAAAACCTCGTCCAAGGTCAATTGGACCATGAGGATCACGAAAATCGAACCCATTCACCCCTAACCCTTGACCTTCAAGGTCAAATTCAAGGTCAAAGGACGGGGAACTGAAAAAGTGCCACTAAATATTGTCCGATTTTCAAAATGTTGGCACCAAAATGTAGAGCGTGCAAAGTTCTAGCCGCACATCGAAAACAATTTTCATCAAGGTCAAACTTCAAGGTCAAATTCAAGGTCAAAAGACGGGGAACTGGAAAAGTGCCACTAAATATTGTCCGATCTTCAAAATTTTGGCACCAAAATGTAGCACGTACAAAGTTCTAGCCGCACATCGAAAACCATTTTCATCAAGGTCAAACTTCAAGGTCAAATTCAAGGTCAATGAACGGGGAACTTTAAAAATGCTACGTCACCAGCGACTTTTCCAGCGACGAGCACTGATTTTAGCCAAAACCTCGTCCAAGGTCATTTGGACCATGAGGATCACGAAAATCGAACCCATTCACCACTAACCCTTGACCTTCAAGGTCAAATTCAAGGTCAAAGGACGGGGAACTGAAAAAGTGCCACTAAATATTGTCCGATTTTCAAAATGTTGGCACCAAAATGTAGCGCGTGCAAAGTTCTAGCCGCACATCGAAAACCATTTTCATCAAGGTCAAACTTCAAGGTCAAATTCAAAGTCAAAGGACGGGGAACTGAAAAAGTGCCACTAAATATTGTCCGATCTTCAAAATTTTGGCACCAAAATGTAGCGCGTACAAAGTTCTAGCCGCACATCGAAAACCATTTTCATCAAGGTCAAACTTCAAGGTCAAACTCAAGGTCAAAGGACGGGGAACTGAAAAAGTGCCACTAGATATTGTCCGATTTTCAAAATTTTGGCACCAAAATGTAGCGCGTGCAAAGTTCTAGCCGCACATCGAAAACCATTTTCATCAAGGTCAAACTTCAAGGTCAAATTCAAGGTTGCACGCGCTACATTTTGGTGCCAAAATTTTGAAAATCAGACAATATTTAGTGGCACTTTTTCAGTTCCCCGTCCTTTGACCTTGAATTTGACCTTGAAGTTTGACCTTGATGAAAATGGTTTTCGATGTGCGGCTAGAACTTTGCACGCGCTACATTTTAGTGCCAAAATTTTGAAAATCGGACAATATTTAGTGGCACTTTTTCAGTTCCCCGTCCTTTGACCTTAAATTTGACCTTGAAGTTTGACCTTGATGAAAATGGTTTTCGATGTGCGGCTAGAACTTTGCACGCGCTACATTTTGGTGCCAAAATTTTGAAAATCGGACAATATTTAGTGGCACTTTTTCAGTTCCCCGTCCTTTGACCTTGAATTTGACCTTGAAGTTTGACCTTGATGAAAATGGTTTTCGATGTGCGGCTAGAACTTTGCACGCGCTACATTTTGGTGCCAAAATTTTGAAAATCAGACAATATTTAGTGGCACTTTTTCAGTTCCCCGTCCTTTGACCTTGAATTTGACCTTGAAGTTTGACCTTGATGAAAATGGTTTTCGATGTGCGGCTAGAACTTTGCACGCGCTACATTTTAGTGCCAAAATTTTGAAAATCGGACAATATTTAGTGGCACTTTTTCAGTTCCCCGTCCTTTGACCTTAAATTTGACCTTGAAGTTTGACCTTGATGAAAATGGTTTTCGATGTGCGGCTAGAAATTTGCACGCGCTACATTTTGGTGCCAAAATTTTGAAAATCGGACAATATTTAGTGGCACTTTTTCAGTTCCCCGTCCTTTGACCTTGAATTTGACCTTGAAGGTCAAGGGTTAGGGGTGAATGGGTTCGATTTTCGTGATCCTTATGGTCCAATTGACCTTGGACGAGGTTTTGGCTAAAATCGGTGCTCGTCGCTGGAAAAGTCGCTGGCGACGTCGCCAACTTCACGGACATCGCGGAGCGACGGTTCCGGATCCAAATTGCCTCCACCGTAATCGCGATGGTTTATGACTCGGGGGTTGCGCGGGTGCAACCGGTGTAGTCAGAAATGTTGTGCTGCACGGATGAAAGTCAGGTATACATCTTTACGACTATCAACACAACTAATTCTGGTTTTTCCTCGGCTACCGGATTCAAAGGCACCGTCGGAGGGCGCTGATGTACTAGATAGATGGCAGCACGACTCGATCCACGTATTGCAATTTCCCAAAGGGTGGGGAAAGCGATCTGGCGATTCGCATACAAAACCAGGTCTGCTAGTCATCTCTCCGCTACTATTCCGCGTTCTACCTCTCGCCCTACAGACCAAAGCCTGGGAATATTTCCGGACAGGTGTAAAACAAAAAATGGATGACATGCGATGAACACACGAGGAAATCGCGAAAAAAAAAACTCTGATCTTAACGAACAAAACCCATGAAGCTGTTAGTGAGGTTAAAACGCCATATACCTACTTTATAAAATTTAATAAACTAAATAATATGTTCTGTTCTCACCTTCGCGAAGTTCCATCCACGCAATGTAGTCGCCTTGCTGAACACACAGACACTGAAGACCGCTTCACCGATCTCAGGACAGGAGTCCAGGTAGTGCTGTGCGGTCCAGCCCAGACCCTGGCTTCCACTGGTCGGTCCAGCCCAGCCCAGACTTCCATTTGTCGCTCCACTCCAGCTCACTGGTCGGTCCATCCCAGCCTCTCGGGCTTCCACTCGCCGGTCCACCAGTCAGTGCCGACCTGTAACAGCGGGTGAATACAGTTATCAGCTTATTCGCGGTTCGTGCATTATAGTTCAATGCGGTGCCTACAGGATTATTATTGATCATCAGATCCAGCAAGAGGGCATTTTCATATCATGGGACGTTACGGTCACGGGAGAGGAAATATATCTACATAATAGGTACATATTACATAGGCCGCGAAAGCACTCGCTATTTTTCCAGGTCTTTTTTATCATGCGTTGCTATTAAATTCATATCACTGAATTACAACGAAAGCATTTTTACAGAGAAAACACGTCGTGTTTTCATGAACACCGGACGCAGCTGGGGAGCGGGGGGGGGGGGAGGGTGGAAGCAGCCAAGATTCTTGGAAGCAGCTGCCCCTCACGACCTGATGTCAATGTCGCTAAGATCTGCCGGGGTTAGTGTGTGAGCTAAAAAGAACTCGCTGTCCTCACATCGAACAGAAATCTTGGCTAGGTATAAGTCCTAAGTATTTCTATGATTTTATACATGCATCACATGGTTACTTACGGTTTCTTAACCCGCGCCCCGTAGGGGGGGGCGAAACGCCCCCCTGTCCTTTTCCATCGATATCTCCTGAACGGCTGGAGATATCGCCACCAAACTTTCAGGACCCCTCCGAGCATCAATTTCACACATTGTCAATAAAAATTTTTTCAAAGGCTATGATAGGTTGGCTACAAATGACGTCAGAATGACGTCATGTTTTGTCATTTTCGACCGAAAAAAGACCTTCGCGAGAAGACCTGTCAGGCCTACAGCTTTGAAGATACTGAAAAATGATCAAGCCATAAAAGATGTAAAATTGACAGAGCTACAAAACTGTTATCTCGGATTTTTGATTTTTTTTTTTAGTTTTGACCCCCAAAATCCAAAAAAGTATTTTTTGGATATATTAGCCAAAAAATCAAAAAAAGTTTTTTGAGTTTCGAAAAAAAACGGAATATATGTGATAGTATCTACCGTCTTCTATCTACATACCAAATTTCAGATCGATACCTCGTTTTTTGGCCAAGTTATAGCCAAAAAACTGCTAAAAAATGATGACGCCAAATTTTCAAACTCAATTTTTGGCAATTCTAGACCTCGTAGAGCAAAACAAAGACCACCATTAGACTCCCCGTGACGAGCTGCATCGATTCGATACCCATTTTATGCAAAAATATCAACTTTGAAATTTGACCTAATTTGACCTGACCTTGACCTGACCTTCACCAAAACGTGACCTAGGCTGGCCCCAAAGGCTGCCTAACCCACATAATCGCATTTGTCATGTAAAATGGACCATAAAACATGTATCACACGACACTTTCATATTGTGACCCCGGTGACCTGACCTGGTATCAGTGACCTCAGATAGCAAAGTATGTGTTTGAAAAACAATTTACCATCGATGGTTTTCAATAAATTACCAATTTACTCGATTTCACAACACATTTCTTGAAATGCCTGTGAACGGTGAAACTCCGACCTTTGACCTGACCTGTGACGTCATCGGTTTGACCTTGGTCAATGAAATTTGGTCACAAGGTAGTTCCCGGATGGGGCTATCGAACGTCGGTTGAATTTTGAAAATCGGCTGGTAAATTTCCGAGATCTTAGGGGGGGGCCGAAACGCCCCCCCCCCCCCCTACGGGTGGCAGGTTCCGCCGGTAACCCTACGGGGCGCGGCTTAAGAAAATGTGCGCATTAAAAGAAAATCGTGCGATACATAATGGCCCTAATTACAAACACACGTTTTCTATGCCTTGATTCCATGCGTCTGGAAAGGTAGCAATGCAGAAAAAACGGGCCTCGAATGGAGTCGGAGACGGAGACATGCCTCATTCTCCCTCTCAGCGGCTGTCAACAAGCACGGTTGACTGTTAACGGATTTTGAACAGCGATAAATCGACCTCAAACCAAGGCTATATAAACCAGGTAGAACGCTCCGGGAAAAAAGTTGGAAACAATAAATTAGTTGCGGCATTCCCTGATGACGCGAATGTGGGTCAGCGGCCGGCGGCCGGCGGCCGCTAACACTGTATGAGGATGAATGCACGGAACTTTTGCTTGTTGGAGATTGCGCTAGGCAGTTAAATGTTAATGTAAGGATATGTTTCGAAAGCAAATTGAACGACGCTTCGAACGCCGTCAATGAATTTGCGATACGACGACTATTTGTTTAGTTAGAGCCGGCGAACTTTTACCTTCCGACCGCGCGGGGAGGCGATATGGTGCTACACTGACGGTTTTTACGACAGCTCAAAATTCTTTTGAGCTAAAGAGCTGAAATTTGACATGTCCAATATTTTGATCAAGCTGGATCTTCTGGTACAAGTCGCATATTTAAGGTACGTAAGGTTGTTGAGCTAAGGTGTCGCTCGTGAGCCTCTACATAGTCCAAAAACAACGCAATTTCTAAGCACTCAGTGCCAAGAAATCCTTCACAGAAAGATGATACTTGGCGGAAAGAATGGCTGTCGGTTTCTTACCGTTCGTATGTATCGTGTTTTCACAAGAGTTTAGTAATGTCAGGTCCCTCACGTCACCTCCCCTCATAACTCAATAGGACTAGGTGTACTATCATAGAAGCTATCATATCAATCGCCGGAAATCTTAGCCAATCCCACTGGACGCTGGATCCATACCCACATGGGGCCCTCCTGACTGGCCACTCCCTCTGAAATCCACAATAACATTGGGCTGCGGCCATGGTTATGTATTAATGCTTTTCACTAACAGAAATACAACAACTTCAACCAGCACAATGCACGCCGCCACAACAGTCCGACCAACGTCCCTGATATCGACTAGCACTCGGCCGGATGCACATATGCGGAGCCAATCAGTCCGAATGTGACCTGCAGCTTACAATTGCTGTGTCGCATGGCGCGTGGCACAGGACGATTCCTAGCAGCTGTCGGCTGGAGTGGAGAAACAGCACGTTGCGACACACCGCGCCGGCGACAGAGCTCAGCAGGGCTGGTTGGAGGCTGGAGCCGGAGATAAGGGCGGACACAGGCACAGACATTGCAGGACAAATAACAGGATGTCAGTTAGGGATATAATTCAAGACGAATGATTCAAGACGGACTGAAATAATGCACATTTTGCTCACTTGGATACCAACTTCAAACTTGACGTTTATAGCACCACGGAAACAATGGCCACACAGGAAAGAATCAAAAGATGAGGCGTTTTTAACTCAAAGTAAATAGAGGTTGCATATGATGGAACAGCCCGAAGTGCAGACAAGCACATATTTTTGGTAATAGCTATCAGCTGTCCTACTCCTCTTCTCCCTTCATCAACTACTGGACACATCTGAGGAAGCACCAATGTCCATAACAAAAGCTTGCAAAGTAGTTTTATGAAGCCAAGGGAAATAATATTTATGCCTACATCATGCATATAAACTCAAAATTACACATGCATGACAAAGGAAGCTTATGTAAAGAGAAGAGTTGGCAAAAGCATTTCATAGATAAAATTATTCAAAACTGCACACAGGGCAAACATAAAAAGCAGCAAGTGTGCTGTTCTGTTATGCTAAGAAATAGTCCAAAACAAAATACATCTTTTCATCTTTGAACTGGATGTTCTTCTATGCCACTTCATCCATATCTTGATTACAGATGGGCTGTTGCTGTAGGCTGATGAAGTGACACTTGATTGCCTTTGTGCGAGGTTCAGTTGCAGCCTCCTGGGTACTGCACTGGAAAGCAGATTGAATTGAATGCCTCTGAAAGATAGGAATACAGGCAAAGTTAGCTGTAGTAGTGTCAACTGTCAATGATAATAGACATGTTATTTTTGTCCTTTGACATACATTTGTTGAAGTACAAAAAGGTACAAAATAAATTGGTTTGTTTCAAGACACGCGCACTGCACAAAGCCGCACAGACATTACACAGGGATATGAAATTGGTACACATAAAACTTGATGATTAAAAAGGTCAAAACTTGCAATAATAATTGAAGTAAAAGTTACAATCACAATCATTTGATTTATAATGACTTGACAAGTCACAAGACGCAACACTCCTATTCACTTAAGAAAGGTTTTTATGCTTTCATTATCCTCCACATATCAACCAGCTTGATACCAGGCTGTGCAATAGTGTGTACATAACCCCATGTTGCCATTTTATTAGATCAAGTGGGGTACAACAACAATGCTGATGTCAAACCCACATCTGCAACCCGTACTGCAGTTTCAATCACCTTACAAGCACACCTTCTGGCAGTTTGATAGGCAGAATGGTCATTACTACTTTCTCCTCATATTCAACACATATTCCCTTTATACAGATATAGTTTAGACCTGGTTATGGCAAGCATTTTCGAGAAAAGATATGATCAAAGTCCAAGACAAAGGTCGAGAGAAACAACACCAACATAAAACACCGACTATGTAGCACTAATACTGTCTAATTCATAAAAATATATACATGAGTCGATCAGAAATTCACTGTAGATTTCGAAAATGGTGTCAAATGCCACTCAAATACCTCCATTCGCATGTACGAAGCAATAAAACACTGACCTTCAATTCCGCGTGCCATTCTCCATAGGCCACTGTGTATTAAATAACGCGTTCACTGATAGCAAAAAATGAGACCCACATATGACGCGTTTGCTACCAGCCAATCAGCGCTCGAGATGCCGAACGCTGATTGGTGGAGAGGGCCGTCGTTAGCAGTCCATTACACGTTGTTTTCCTTGAACATGTGCGTGAGCGCTGATGCTGCTCACGGGTTGTTGCCATTTTTCGTAATGCTGAAGGCACGGGAGCGAACCCCCCTGCCTCAAACTTGATTATCAACAAAAAGCGCCGATTTAACCCCTGAATTGTTATTACCCCAAGTAATCAAGTAGGTACCTAATCACGAAAAAACACGCTTAACCCAGAGATACGCATTGGATACGCACAGCAATGGGGTCGTTTGGATTTCCTGAAATTAAGCCGGACCAATGAGGCTATCAAACATTTTACCATGCAAAG